CATGCATATTGTACTCATCACTGGTCAGGGTCTCCAGGTAGCAGCTGTATAGACGCCGGAAACTGTCAGAGTTGCGCGCGCATCTTGCAATGGTAGCCCTGAGGGCGATGGTCAAGCCCCCCGGCACTGCACCGGGTGTCCAATCTCTTTCAGACATGCCAGGGCAGCTGGCGGAAACGGATGACGCGGGCAGCACGTGAGCAGCTGGAAACGCTCTTTTGCGTTGCGCAGACCTTTCGTCGGGGGATGATCGGGGCAAAAGATCGGTTGAAGGCGACGATGGACGAGGCGGGTCCAATCCCGACACCGTCGCCCCCCCCCCCCCCACACCACCACACACACGCGCACACCACCCGCACCACCCCGAACGACTTCGCATCTTATTAGTCACCTGCTGCCAAGCACGCTCTCGGGCCCCACGTCGAACGGGCGCTCCGAGCATCGCGACTATGTCCAGCCGCTCGAAGGTAGGCAGATCGGGGCCTTGCTTCAGGAACTTCTGAACAATGACAATGTGCACTCTCGAAAGCTGTTTAAATACGATAGTGATGCATTCCTTGCATTTCAATACAAGACCAGACATGGGCCCGAACTCCTGCATTCCAACTATGCCAAAAGTAAGCACTTCAAATCGAATGTGCTACCGTGGAGATGCCGTCCGAGAACGCGGACGGTGCATGCGCGCGTCGATGTTGCATCACGCCTACGGGGCGCAGCAGGGGGGCCCATTGCGAAGGCCCGCGGCAGGACGCTAAAGGGGAAACCCTCGACGCGCGCCGCGCCCAGCAGCAACTTCCCATAATCTGTCAGAACTAGTAAACAGATAGCAGGCCACCTTCGTATAAATTGCTTCCAATGCAGATATCATAGCGCGAAGTAGCCCAAACGCCTGGAGCGCGGCAAAGGGCCAGACCTGACACGCCGACGCGAATCCCGCCTCCAGGTCGAAGGTGGCACCTCCTACTCCTCCTCCGCCGCCTAGGAGCCCCCATTGGGCAAGCGACCCTTCAAAGTTGCAAATGTTGCCAACAAGGTTCGGCCGAAAGAAACTGCGCTGGGCCCCGCCGAGCCGCCCCCGAACAACATGCGCGGGCGGGAAACCCTAGCATGGGACCATTTGCCAGTGGTCCGCGTGGACCAGGGCTGGGGGCGGGTCTCCTCGGCAGCCCCGGTCGCCTTGCCGCCGAGAGGCACATCGCCGGCGCGGGAGGAACTAGCTTGCAAATGTCAAAAAATCCACGCAGAACTCCCCCCGACATCACGCGCACACAGCGCCGGCAAAGCCCCTCCCCCACCACTCGGTCACCACGCCCGCAGACAGAATCTGCAGACCCACCAAGGCCAGGACCCGAACCAGAGATACCTCTGATGTCAATCGCGGCGCACTGGTAGTCGTCCAAGGGAGGCCCTCGGAACCAAATCCAGAACGCGGTTTGCATTATCCGCGCCTGGCGCGCGAGGGCTCGGCACCGTCGGCCCATGTTCAGCGAGGGCGGAGGCGCAGGCTCGGCGACTTTCCTGGGCGCATCCACGAGGCCCAACAACACCTGCGAGCGACGCCTGCCGCCGAGGAGCACCCCGCGTTTTTTCCGAGACGCTCGCTGCGAGCAATATGGAAATCTCGCACGGCAACTAGTACCTGCCCGGTCGCCAGCCCCTTCTCGCGCCCCCCAAGTACGTCGCGCGTCAAACAAGAGAGCTGAATGCGAAAGCCGCTGGGGCCCAGCCAGACGCCCGCGCCGGGTTCGAAGAACTGGGCGAGAAGCGGGCACGCCTTGACAGCCTGACAGCCCGACTGCACACACACACACACACACACACACACACCCGGCCTGCCCGAGCGGGGTTCAAGAGCTTCGCGCGGCAAGGAAACTTTCACGGCAGCGGTCCGCCATCCCGGGGAAAGCACCGAGGCCCGAGCCCGAGCAGCAACGCGCCGCAGTCCGTCTTTGATTGCTAAGAGCCGTTCGGGCGGATGCTGGGATAGGTCGTCTTCCACCAGATGCTTACCAAGGGCGACATGAAACCGACCGCGTTGACCAATCCACCCAGGAATCACGGTGGATTCCCGTCGGGCAAGTAGAGGAGCGAGCCGAAGGAAAGCTGGGGCATGACCCGATGTCTTCACGAAGTCATGAGTTGGCCAGTCAGCGCGACCAGGGAGGGCAAAGGACGAGGAAGTCCGCGGCGGGGGGGCGACGAGCCGGGCGGGCCCTAAACGTGGACGATGCTTGCACAGTATTGGAGGCCTGGAAATTGGCACCAACACCAGCACAGGGGTTTGCCTCCACAGGGAGATGATGATCTTAGATTTCGGTGTTGGTGGTAATATTTCGGTCACCTTGGAAGCCAGAATGTTACCACCATCACCGAGATCCGGATCGTCTTCCCTCGGTGGAGGCACACCGCCGATCTTGGTGTTGGTGTCAATCTCTAGGACTGCGACAGTATCACCCCATCATCGGAAATCCCTCTGCAAATACTCTGGCCAGCCTGCTGCGGGTTGAGCGCTCAACCCCATCCCGAACACAGGGCGCGCCCCTGCAAGCCCGAAGCAGGGGCACCAAGCATAAAAATACAACGGAGGAGGCTGCATACATACTACGCTTGGTCATCGCCATCTCCGCTGCTACCTGGAATTCTGGGACGCCTGAGATAAAATGCACGTTGGAGATCAGCAGCCGACGCGACGGGGAAGAAAGGATGAGACCAGAAATGCGACCTTTTCACAAGAACCTGGAACTGAATAGGTGCTGGACAAGAGATTTTGTCACGGATGTCACTGCACCGCCCTTCCCCACATATTTACAGAACGAGCTGCAATGCACGCCCATGTGTTTCTGGTGGGGTTGCGATGCCGTACTTGCTAATGAATATAAATGCATGTATGTGTTCACGTTTGAGAAACTACATCCCCATCCACTGATCCAAAAAAGCGAGTGGCAAATCCAACTGGTCATACCAAGACGCGCGCGCGGATAGCATGGAAAACAACCACCTCGATTCTCAGCGAAGAAAACAATAGAGGAGGAAGTAGTAGACGTTGAGGAACCAAAACTGGCGGAACGAGTTCTCCTGCGTCTTCCAGCAGAAACTGTGGATCCCGGAATAGAGGAGGAAACGGATGACGAAGAGCTACTTGTACTCGCTGGAGTACGAGCTCTGCCCCTGGGGGGACGAAGAGTCTGAGAGCGTAATCGCCCACGGGATGACTGTGCTGCCCATGAGGTAGCATGTCAAGTGAACATGCTGGTCTGGAAAGTCAGCTGCTTATGCGACGTCTCTATGGCAGGGTGGATCTGGTCGCGCAAGATGCCCCAGCCATTGCACTCCTTGGTGTTGGGGCGAGACTGGGAGAAGTCGATCTCTACATTATTGGTGAGAGGCGTTGCTGTCACCAACTTCCGCACATCTTCATCAGTGGATAGGCGTAGTTGACCTTTGAAGCCATCGGATCCGAACACGCAAGGCGCATCCCACACCCCACTATTCTGGTACATGTCCTTCACTTCTGAAAACAAGTGAAGAAAGGATCGTGTTTTGCTGCGCATCGCGTGGCAAGTCGGACTTTCTCTCGCGGGCCAACCCAGCTTAAACCAAGTGCTTTGCATTCTTGAGTGAACTCACGTGCGACCAGCGCGCTCTCGAACTCGACACAGTAGCTTTGACTTGCACTGTGAAGTTGTGCACTGGCTCTGGAATCGAGGTGATGAGGGAAGCGTTGTTGAGGTTGGCGCCAGTGAGCCTCTCGTACTCGCTGGAGCACTGGACGAGGGAAGGTTTTTACTAATTTGACCGACGGTTTGCTGACATCGATCTGATCGGCTCCATGTGCCCTCTTGGGCACGTTTGGTAAGATGTCCGCCGAGATCGAAGATCGTCCGTTCGAGAATGACGACGAAGAGCCACTCCCATCGGCTGTCGATTGGGGGTCGGTCGCCTTCACCTCGTCAAGTTGTTGCAGCTGACCACGCACCTTCATCGTTAGGTCAGTCACTATCTCAATCACACTTGCCGATGAGTCTCCTTGTTTCGTGATCACTGCGAGGTGCTCGCTCATAGCGCCTTGCATCGTAGTGACCTTCGCATCGACCTGGGCGATGATGGCTGACGTCGCAACTGCCATGGCTGCCTCAATCGCCGCAGCAACCGATTGGTCCATCTTGAGAGACTGAATATGGAGTGTCTGGAGCGTGGTAGCAGAAGCAGAGTACAGTCGGGGCGCTGACCTAAGGAACCCTAAATAAGGAACGAGGCCCCTAGTTTCCATAAGTTAAGCTTCGATTCCATATCGAAAACCTAAGGAAAAAAACCTAAGGCAGGCTGTGAGACAATCAAGGAACACCGAGCCCCTCCCCAACGAAAAGGGATCCTTCTCCAGGGCCCCGACTGTACGCGGGAGCCCAGACCCCGCAGTGAGGGCCGAAGAGAGATGCCAGGCGGAGCAGCCTTGCCAGCCGCGGATTCGCGGCATCTGTGCGCTGCAACGGGCAAGCGAGCACCTTGAGCCAAAATGGCTACGGAGGAAGGGGGAAGGAGGAAGATGACAGAACAAATCGATGCACACACACACACACACACACCGATCCCGGCCAGGCCCATCCTGCTGGGCCCAGGATCGGTGCGTACGCCCTCCTCCAGGCTTGGCCAGGGAAGCATGTGCACCGACCCTGGGCCGGGCCTGGCCGAGATCGGTTTGCGCTGAGATCCGACGCCGCGAAAGAAGTGTAGCATCGCGAAAGATCGCGACCGGAGTCCCATCTCCCTGCTGCGAGCCGCATCGATCTGTGAGGCCTGGCAAGCGGATAGCGTGTCGCTCCGCTCCGCGGGGCGGGAGGCTCGGGAGAGCTCGGGACTCTGGCGCTGGAGGGCAGGGAAACGGACAGCGCGTCGCGCCAAAGCGCGGCAGGCCAGAGACAGCGGAGCGGCACGCGAAGCCGAAGTTCCTGACAGCAGCCCTGTGTCCCACTCGCCCGTTTTCTTTTCCTCCGGTCCTCGGCCTCCCCCGCGGCGCGCAGCGCCGCCCGCGGTGCCCGGCCGGGGGGCGCGGCGGCCGCAGATGAGCGGGGCGCTGGCGCGCAGAAGGCGGCAGGGCCCCGCAAGAGGATGGCCCCGAGATCTGGGCGTGCGAGGCGACACAGAGACCTCACGCGGCGGCTCACGCGGGCCGCCAGCGCGGCACGCCACCCTGGAGGCGAGGGCGCTTATGCGCGACTCCTTACGCGGGCAGCTTACGCACGAGTGTCCGCGCAGGCGACCCTGTGTCTTCCACGTCGCTCCTTTTGTCCTCACGCTGGCGAGGCTTCGGGCTGCGCCCTGGCCTCAACAGGCCCCCCGAGCAGCCTGGGGCGATCTCAACAACTCAGAGCCGCCTCCGGTGGCGCCCTTGGGGCGCTTCGCGGCCCAGGGCTGAGGTGTCGAGGCCGCCCCAGGCCACTCGGGGGGCCTGTCGAGGCCAACTGCGAACACTCGGTGGGCCAGTCGGGACTGGCCGGAACTACCTGGAGGGGCTGCCTGGACGCCACCCGAAGCCTTACCACTTCACGCTGGGCGCTTTTCCGCCCAGCTTCTGTCCCTGGGGCCCTCACATAAGGCAACGACGTCAATACATGCCCACCGCCGCGGGGCTGGCCGGGCCCATCCTGGGCCCAGGAGCGATGTGCACGTCCCGCAGCACCGCTCCTGGGCCCAGGATGGGCCCGGTCAGCCTATGTTTATGTCGGGCGTGTCCTACAGGGGGATTTTCTACGAAAAGTTAAAGAAAAACATAAACACCCCAAAAAGGTAATTTAAAAAAGTAGTCCCCAGACTGTGTTTGGAATATGTTCTACTATTGTTGGGGTAATTCTTATTTTTCGTCGAAAATCCCCCTGTAGGGGGACAGGCCCGACTTAAGCCTATGTGTAGATCTCGTCGCCCTATCCCAGATCGTGCCAGGCCTCGCGGAGTGCCGCAGAAAGATGGGGTCTGCGGACCTGGCCGGCCGTTTCCACGCCGCTGCACTCTTGGTCGCGACGTCGGAGCTGAGGGGAGCGTCAAGGAAGCTCACCGCCCAGAGGGGGGGCCACCAGCTCCTCACGAGGGCCGAGCTTCGAGGACCGAGGGCCCTGGCGTGGCTTGACGACATGGGGCGCTGGGGGAGGTCCCGAGGGGGGGGAAGGGGGGCTTTGGCGCGGCTGAGAAAATTGAAGGGGCCCTGGGACACACCAATCAATAGGCACAAATAACAGGATTCCCCATACTTTCCCACATTTTCTGTGTCTTCGTCTCCCCCCCACAAATTTCCCATATACTTTCCCATGCTCCTCTTCTGGGGAATCGACGGTGAGTCGTGTCTGTGTGTGTTTTGTTCCCTCCTGAAGGATGGCCCTCCTCGAGGCGGCGCCTCTCTGCCGCGACGCCGGGATCTCGGGGGAGGAGGGCGGCGGCGCCGAGGGCGCCGGCCGCCAGCGCCCGGAGCAGCGGCGCGGGCCCCCGTCGCGGGCGGGCGTGCTGCCCTCGACCGCCGCCCTGCGCGCCCCGCCGCGCGGCGGGCGCCGCGGCCGCGGCGGCCGCGCGGAGGCCGCCGCGGCGCAGGCGCCGCGGCCGCCGAGGCCGCCGAGGCCCGCCGCGCGGAGGGGTGCGGAGGGCGGCGGTCGAGGCTGGGGCGCCATCGGTGCGGGCGGCGGGCGCGGGGCGGGGGTGCTGAGGCGCGTGGGGGCCTGAGCGGGGCGGCTGCGCGAGGGAGGCTGCCTCTCTCCGCTTGTGTTTTTGTTTTTGAGGGGGGCAGGGAGGGGGGGGAAGGAGGAGAGGAGGAGGCGAGGGAGGAAGAGGAGGAGGAGGAGGAGGAGGAGGAGGATGAGGAGGAGGAGGAGGAGGAGGAGGAGGAGGATGCGTCTGGCCTGACCGCGCGGGAGGCGAGAGGCGAGGGGCACGAGAGGCGGGGGGGGGTCGAGAGGCGAGTCGCGAGAGAGGAGACGTGACGGGCAAGGGCTGGGCAGAAGGAGGCAGAGGAATCGGATGGAGGATGTTCAGGACGCGATGGCGCGAGGGGGCATCGAGCTGGGGTTTGCAGTAGAAGAGGCAGGGGGAAAGAAGAAGCAAGGAGGAAACAGAGGGAGGAGCGCAAAGGCAAGGGGGGGAGCGCGACAAACAGGGAACAGGACGAGAACCAGGAATCAAAAGCTGGCCTGCAACAGCGAGAGGGGCGAGGTGAGCGAACCTTAGAGCCCGTTAAAAGAATTCCCAAGGAATAGGCACGCAGCACCGCGCCTGTCCAGGGGCCAGTGTCGCCGAGGAGCCCGTCCTGGGACACAGAGGAGGCCAAAGGGGGAAGAGGAAGACGAAAGCGGAGGAGAGGGGACAGGAGGAGGAGGAGGAGGAGGAGGAGCCGAAGCAGGAGGCGGGGAGTAGAAGAAGGTAGAAGAGAAGGCGGCGGGGGACCTCCTCCTCCTCGTCCTCCTCCATTTCCTCCTCCTCCTCCTCCTCCTCCTCCTCCTCCTCCTCCTCCTCCTCCTCCTCCTCCTCCCCCTGGTCCTGCTAGTCATCCTCCAGGTACGAGATGTTGCGACGACAACGACGATGAAAATGTGCAAGACGACGACGACAAGAACGACGAAGACCACCACGACCACCACCACGACCACGGCGATGACGACAACGACGACGACGACCACCACGACGACCACGACGACCGCGACAACCACGACCACGACCACGACCACGGTGACGGCGGCAACGGCGACGGCGACGGCGACGGCGGCAACGGCGACGGCGACGGCGGCAACGGCGACGGCGACGGCGACGGCGACTGCGACGGCGACGGCGACGGCGACGACGACGACGACGACGACGACGACGACGACGAAGACGACGACGACGGCGACGTCCGCGGCGACCGCGACGACGACGACGGCGAGAGGCGCCGACGGTCTTCTGAGGGCGGGCCGCGGCTGCGGGCCGAGCGCCTCCGCCCGAGGGAGACGGCGCCGCCGCCGCCTAGGGAGGCTCCGACCCGCGAGGCCTGGGCCGCGGGGCCGATGGCGGAGCGGCCCGAGCCGCGCGCTGGGCCTGCGCCCCGAGACCTGGGCCCCGCAACTGCCTCACGCCGGGGCGTTTTCGCTAGGGGGCTCAGGGAGAGATAGGAGGGAGGAGGTATGGGGGGACGGAGGCGGCGGCGGACGGTGGCATAGACGCGTGGTCGTGCTCTATTGGGATGGGGGGGAGGGAAGAGGGAGGAGGGAGGCAGGCTGCCCGAGATCCGGGCGCTGCGGCTGCTTCGCGCCGGGCGTCGTCGCTGGGCCTCGGGCCCCGGGGCCCTCACAGAGCCGCCCGGGCCGAAAAAGACGGCGCCGAAGGGTGGGGTGCTCCGGGGCCCCGGCCGCGACGCTCGCCACGATGCCGCACTCTGTCGCGCCGTCGGAGCTCGGGGCGGGAGCCGCCGCCGCGGGGGGGGGGCCCGCCGAGCGGGGGCCCGAGAAACGACGGAGACGACAAGAAAAAACGCCGGGCATCGCCAGCGGCCCAGCGCTCCTCGGGGGGCCGCCCAGGGGCGGCGCGCACGAGGACAAGCTGCCGGCACGCCCGAGGCGGGCACGGACAAAAGCTGGGCGCGATGCCCCACAGCAGGTCGGCGACGAAGAGAAACGGGGCTCACGCGAGATGGCACGGCGACCGTACGCGGTGGCTGGCGCGGGCCGCCGGCTCAACGTCGGCGCAGTCGACCCCATTATCCTGCGTTGCCCATATGTCCACTGGCGGCTGCTTCTCAGTGCGGGCTCGGCCGCTGTGCTTTTAGGCTTGTGCGTGGCCAATTTGACAGGCCCGTGGCCCGGACCTCTCACTCGGCGACTGCGGATCCGCGTCCGCCCGCGACCCAAAAAGTTGCCCACATGTCGTCTGTAAGCGACAGCGGTCGCTGTTGGGCACGCGACCTTATGCATCAAACGGGCAACGCCCGCGGCGATGACGACAGCGAGTCCTGAAGCCAGTGCTTCTATAATTCGCGGTGGCGCCCGTGGACGGCCCCACGCCGCCCCCTCCCCCCCTCTGAATACGAGTCGGCGGCGAGCCTGGGGGGGAAGGGAGAAGGAGAAGGCCTTCTTGGAAGGCTCGGAACGCCCCCTGGCCTTCTGAGAAGTTTTCTAAGCACTTCCCGAAGAACAGAAAAAAACTTCTCTCTGAAGGCGCGAGGGCAGCTGAGAGAAGCCCCGCCGCCTTCGCTCGCCGCCGAACTACGCAGGAGGGCGGGCATGCAGGTTTGCAGGCAGACCGCGGCAGGGGGTTCGCGACTGCCGAGCACTGGACAAAAGCTGACCATTCTCCTTTTTTTCATTTGATTCGCATCATGTTTGCTATTCTTAGCGCGCTTATCATCTTAATCATTGTTCATCTTACTAGCATGTGCATTTTTGTTGTTTAGCACAACATGTTTCAGTCCTAATAATCATCTTCTTACTATTATTCTCCAGTTGTCGAGATAACCTCTTCATATTGTTGATCCTCTCAGAGCCTGGCGGCATCGCCAGCGTGATTGACGACCTGTCTGGGACGCACGAGATTGAGACCCCCCCTCGGGTCACGCCCCGATTCGCGCTGGCGCCGCCTGGGAACTAGCCATTCTCAGGTATTCCCCCAGACGGCGCCGGCGCGCATCGTGGCGTGACCGACACTCTCCCCCACCCTCCGCCCCCTCCCCCAGTCACGTCACGCCAGTCGTTGCCAAAGGATCCGCCATCGTGCCTCCGGGCTCGGAGTGGGCGTGTCCCCAGGTCCTCTGCCCAATCCCCTGAGCCTCAGTCCACACTCCCGAGGAGTCTTGAAGGTGGCCGGAGCTCAAATTGCCAAATCTTCTTGGGCTTGCCGCGGTTCCCAGGGGCTTGCCGCGTCTTGTCGCGTGACTTGGAGGGCCCAGAAGGGCCCTAAGACGGGCCAAAAGGGCTCCCAGAGGCCGCCACAACGGTCGAAGAGGGTCCCGAGTCGCCGAACGATCGCCCCAGGACGCCCAAGATGGCCGCCCAGACGCCCCAAGAGGCCGACCAGACGCCCCAAGAGGCCACCAAGAGGCCTCCCTGGAGGGGCCTCAGAACCCCAAGACAGCCCAAGAGGGCCCCAAGACGGCCCCGAGAGGGGCCCAAGAAGGGACCTGGAACCACAAATTCGAGCCTCCCGCTCCAAGAGGCCCCCCCAGGAAGCCCCAAGAGGCCCCCAAGAGGCGCTAAAGATGCCCCCAGAGGCCCAATCTCCGCCCCAAAGAGGCCTCAAGAGGCGTCAAAACTGCCTCCCACAGAGGCCAACCACGAGATCCCAACCAGCATCCATGAGGCCGCTAACCCACCACCCCGGCACGGTGGCGGGATGCGCCGGAGCATTCGAGAAAAAAAGGCCCCCTGTCCACGATGGGCAGGCAAGAGCACGGTGGTCGGTCTTCGTCGCCAGTCTTTCCGTGCCCTCCTCGATCGTGCCGAGGGGCACCCGTCCCGTGCGCGCGGGGGGGGGGCGCCAGGCCAGGCCGGGCGGGCGGGAAAACTGCGAGCGAGACGCGCTCGGACCCCGCGCCGTCGGCTGGGCACCTGGCGCCGCGCCGACCGCGCGGGGCCACCGCCGCTGGAGGCGGCGCCCATTGGCACCTTGCGCGCGACGGGCCTCACTCGGTGAGGCGCGCTGCGCGGTGCGCCTGCGCGTGGGGAGGCCTCGTCGTCGCCGCCCTCGCCGTCGTCGTCGCCGTCCTCCTCGTCCTCGTCCTCCTCGTCGTCCTTATCGTCGTCCCCGTCGCCCCCGTCCGTGTCCTCGTCGGCGTCGTCCTCGTCGTCGCCGTCGCGGTCCTCGTCCTCGTCCTCGTCCTCGTCGTCCTCGTCGTCGTCGTCGTCGTCGTCGTCGTCGTCGGCGGCGGGGGCTGCACCCCTCCCACAAGACCGGAGGGACGAGGCGGCGGCGGATCCACCACCCCCAGCCCTTCAGACCCTCAAGAGCTACTGTCGGCGGCGCGCCCGGGGGGAAGTGAGAAGGTGAAGGCCTCTTCAGAAGGCTCGGAACTCCCCTGGCCTTTTGCGAAGTTCTTTAAGCCTTCCCCGAAGACACTGAGAAAACTTCTCAGAAGACGCGAGGCTTTCTGGGAGAAATCCCGCCGCCCTGTGAAGAGACCTTCCCCTTCTCACCTACCCCCCGCCCCCTCGCTCGCATCCGACTACTGCGGGGCAGCAGGGGTCAAGCGGGCCAGGCAGCTGGAACACACCTTCACGATTCACCAGCAAAGCGGCTGCACCGCCGCGAGTACTGAGGCGGGGCACGATCATTTCAGTTCCACCGGGCGTTGCAGATGGGCAGACTGCGCGAAGTGAGTCGCGTGCCTAAAAAGACGCCGGAAAGTCTGCGCGTGCAGGCGGGGTCCACCAGCGCAACTAGTGGTGGGAGAGCGTACACGTGCACGCCGAGCGCGAACCCGCGTCGAGCAGGGGGCGCAAGACGTGAGGGGGAGTGCGACAGCGTGCACACGCGGCTGGATCCACACGCGGAACATGCGAAAGTCACTCGCTGGATACACATGAAGAACCGGGCCCACACGGCCATAGACGGGCCGAGCGCTGGGACACTTTTTTGATACGCAGGGCGAGAGCGAGCCTACTCCGCCAAAAGCTCCGCGGGACGCGCATAGCTTTAATTGACGGAGAGGGGGCGAGAGCAGGCGGGGCCTCACGCGGCCAGGGGGGGCTGGGCCCGGGGATCAGGCGGTGTCGAACGGGACGTGCATGAAAAGGTACACCTTGGACAGGAGCCCGGTGGTGAAGTCCTGGGAGGACAAAGGGTCGGTGGTGTAGCCGTCAGCGGCGCTTCGCGAACACCAGCCTCACGTACTGCGGGAGGGACGCGCCACTGACCAGGTCGACGCACGAGAGGAAGAAGAGCACCACGAAGTAGGAGAGCCACGTTGTGCCACCAAGGAGTACCAGTCGTGGTAGTCCACTCCACAGACATGGGGGTCCGCAGCCTGAGGCACGGCAGTCGGGCGAACCGTGAACTTGCCGTCGATGACCGACAGGACGCCGGTTCGTTGCAGGGAGAAGGTCTGCCCTGCACTGGCAAGCGCGTTGCGCTGCCGATCCGCAGTGTCGAGGGCCGGGCCTGAGCCGCGCAGCGCCAAGAACAGCGGGGCCGCCAAGGCGGCAAGGAGCAGGCGCCCGGCACTGCCGCGCAGTGCCGGGCGTTGTCGCCATGGGAGGGGGGAAGCGACCGGGGAGGGGAGAAGCGGACAGGGAGGACAAAGGCCAGCCCAGCGGGCCAGCCCCCGCTTCGGAGGTAGCACGCGGCCGGGTGGATCAGGGCTGGGACACACATCCGGCCACCATGTTGTATCCAGCTCTATCCCTGGGCCGCTGCGTCATGTGTATCCGACCTCCTGGAAGATGGGAGGTCGATGAGGGGTGCTGCGGTCGGGAACTTTTGCTTGGCGCGTCGCGGCGGCAGCCCCAGAGACACGCCATGCCCTACGAGCTGGGAGCGCGTCGCTTCGCTCCGCGGGGCGGGAGGCTGGGAAAGGCTCGGGACGTTGACCGTCGGGGACTAGAACGTGGATAGCGTGTCGCGCCGAAGCACAATACCAAAAGCAGCGGCGCGACACGCTAAGCCAAATTTCCTGACCATAGGGGGATCGAGGTGGTCTTGGAGGGAATCTGCTTGGGGGTCTTGGGGGAAATCTGCTACCCTGACCCTCCAGGGTGCTAAAAAGCAGCCCTCCAGACGAATGGACCCGTCTTGCACCGCTCGAGATCTCGACTGGAATTCAAAGTCAGAGGTCGTGGTGTTTCTGTTCCCCCTCCTGGAAGGCCCGGGGAGGGGGGCCCAGCGTTGACCTCAAAGATCTGCGCGGACCTCCGGACGCCTCCCAAGCCCTCGTCCCCCCATGCTGGCGCAGCTCCTCCTCCGCCTCTCCACTGAGGGGCAACGGTAGGGGGGGCCTGTCCCGGGGAACATGGAGCCTGAATCGGCGATACTTCGCCGATGGATCGGCGGTAGCCCCCCGATCGCAAATCCGAACCTTCCTAGGCGGGGTGGGCTATCTGGCCCTCAGCGGTGATGAACGCGCGATTGGGGTCGACGCATTCCCTTCCGAACCCACTCCGCCCCTGACGTTGCCCCTGATCCACCCTCAACCTGTCGGCCTTGTCCTCCTCCTCCTCCTCCTCCTCCTCCTCCTCCTCCTCCTCCTCCTCCTCCTCCTCCTCCTCCTCCTCCTCCTCCTCCTCCTCCTCCTCCTCCTCTCCTCCTCCCCCTCCCCCTCCTCCTCCTCCTCCTCCACCTCCTCCTCCTCCTCCTCCCCTCCTCCTCCTCCTCCTATTCCCCCTCCTCCTCCTCCTCCTCCTCCTCCTCCTCCTCCTCCTCCTCATCATCATCATCATCATCATCATCATCATCATCATCATCATCATCATCATCACATCATCATCATCATCATCATCAGCATCATCATCATCATCATCATCATCATCATCATCATCATCATCATCATCATCATCATCATCATCATCATCGTCATCATCATCATCAACGCCCCCGCCCCCGCCTCATTTCCCGCCCTCACATCATCAAGCGTTCCATCGACCGCCAAACCAACATCGTCTGGAAGTGTGCTCTCGAAGCACTGGTGGGGAGAGAAGCAAAGAAGACCAGGCCGAATGTATGCCTCGGGGCGGTGCCCCGCTGGGCACACACCCCAACGGTGTGGACAGCCAACGCTCGCCACTCGGGCATAAGCGCGGATGGGTGAGAAGGAAGAGAGATCGGCTGCACACAAGAGTGGCCCTTGGCAAGGCGCGACGTTTGGGGGCCACGGGGAGGCCAAACCCGAGCGCGCAAGCCGCTGCGATCGCCTCCCTTTCGGGCATCGGGGGACCCTGGAGTGCCCGCACCACAGTCAATCTGGCGAAAGGTCAATGTAAGTATTGCTGAAGAGAGGAGGAGAGAGGGTGGAAACACCAAGTGGCGGCGGTAACAAATTATCCCCCAAAACGTAGCGGCTCTCCCAGAAATCAAGGGATTGATTTCCTTCAAGTTCAACCGTTTGCTGTATTTTTTGTGGCGCCTAGCAGACGGCCACGGCGAAACCACTGCTTGGCTCAGGTGGAAGGCAACACAGGTGGCTGACAACCTCTGACACTGAGCGAGGAGACGGCGCCATGGGCGAGGTCCGCCTCCCCCCGAAAAGGGGGGCCGGGGCTAAGACTTTGCAAAGCCGAGACCACGCCTGCAGCAGCAGGCAGGAAGCACGCTCCGGGACCGTGTCTGGCCGAGCAGCGGGTGCAAAAGCAGGGCGACCTCGCCTCGGCGAGCGCCGCTTCGGGGAGGGTGTTTCGCGAGTTCCTTTTGGAGCGCCCACTACGGCCCCTTCCCCTCACGGATCGACCCTTGGCTCAGCCGCCAACGACAGGGCATCCGTCGGCTGCACATCACATAAGCCACTGTCGCACGCCTTGAGGGCCCAAGGGTGGGAGGCGACAGGATGCACAGGTCGGGGATGACAGGGCCCTCCACCGTGTCCCGACGCCCTCCGCTTTTAGAGGGGCCCCCCTGTGCAACGGTCACCGCAAGGGGAGAGTTACCTCCAGCGCCCCACGGCCGTGCAAGCAGGGGGAAAGTGGACAGCACGCAGCAGTGAAAAAGACGGCCTCAGGGCACCCGAGATCGACCCCTTCCCGCGAATCCAGCGACCGCAACACATCTGAAATGGAGCGGCCCCCCTGTGCAGCCGTCACCGCAGGGGGAGAATTACCTCCACCGCCCCACGGCCGTGCAAGCAGGTGGAGCGGACACACACGCAGCAGTGAAAAGGACGGCCACGGGGACCCCACATCGAACCCGCCGCGCAGGCCCAGAGACCGCATAGCAAACGACACACTGCACCCGAGGGGAGCTGATGCAAATCCAGAAGAAAGGCGGAGCGCGCAACCCGCGTCTTCAGTCCGAGTCAGAAGAGCCCATCCCCCGCTCCAGCCCCCCACCGACCACAACAAGGGCAAAACCCACCCCGTCCAGAGGGGAAGGATCGGGCGACTGCCGAGGGACTCGGTTGCGCAACCGAGCTTCTAGTGGCAGCTTGGATGAGCGTGGCAACTTTAGCGGCTATGCGCTGCTCCTCCGCCACAGAGGGAAGCGCAGAACAGGATACGATTGATGGGGGCTCTGGGGCCACCTGGGCGTGCATAAAAAAGTGAATTGACCGTAATGTGGAGAAGCTTGGGGCGCGTACCCCGACATGTGCTAGACCACACCCTCCGACCGAACTTAGTGGGGGGGCACACTCAGTATTCAACGAGACTACCCGACCGTGAGAGATGTACACATGGCATCGAATGCACACAATGAACGCAGCTCCATCGCTGAAAGGCAAACAGATACAATTATGGCCAAACCCAACGAAAGATCGGAAATCAATGGAAATCGAACCTACACACCGCCCAGGAGGTGGTATCCTGGGCCACCGCTTCTTACTGATGCGCCAAAAGATACCGCAACGCCAAAACGTGTCAAAACAAGCCCAAACTTGCGGCGGTATGTACACATCAGCATTAGTGACATTGGGCGGAAGGGGGGGTACTCAACCTGACCAAAGTCTCGCAGCGGCTGCCAAAGCGACAGCCTCTTCATACTGAGAAGGCAAAAGTCCCTAGCGGACTTGACTTCGAGATCTAACTGCGCCGAGACTTCGGGGTCGGGCAACGGGTGGTGGGCACGAGCAAGCTTGGCAGCCCGATCAGCCGCATCGTTTCCTTCCCTCAGTAAACGGAGCTCTGCAAGCTTGTCGGGGTCCTCTGGGTTTTGGTGGGCACGAACATGCTGCACGTTCTGGACATAACGGAATGACGGGTGAGAGCGAGCCCTGCAACAAGTGTCCTGCATGTGATCGCTTCTCTGACGTCCGAGCATCCAGAAGAAGGGCGTGGGAACCCACAACAGTGTTCCAATCACTGTGTATGCCACTGTTGTCTGTAATCAGCTCGACAGCGGCGAGATAAGCACTGAATTCGCCAGCCTGCGGGTCTGAGGGAGGTGAGACCACACAGGGCCTATAACTCTACAAACAACATCCTGCCCGGCGTACAGAACAACACTCCACGAGGCGCGGTGCATCTCACGCACAAGCAAACGGGTGCAGCACTCGTCAACAAAACTCTGGCCATGGAAACTCTCAGGGTGGGGGGTCAACATACCAATGCGCGCAGGAAGGGGGGATGCGATCTCCTGGGTGGGGCAGGGCCCCATGCGTGAGGAGGAAGAGCTTATCGGCACCTTGAGACGCAAACTCGATAGCTCCGTCAACGAGCTCACTGGGAACGAGATCTCTGCGAGCGTGGTCACACTCAGGGCACATCCAGAGCCGATGAAACATACTGTCCGTGGGGGGCCCACACTTCTCGCAGCCAGCTGGAAACATATAACCTTTACTACGAGCAAACATCCAAGTCCACACAGCCTTCCCCAGCAGCGACACGCAGCGTGCCCTTCTCCAAGGGCGAGAATTTATTTCTTCGAGGCGAGACACGCATTTACCCCGTCATAAGACAGACGATGAACAAAAAATGTTTGGCGCCGATGCCCCTCTCCAGCTGCCTCAAGACCGCATGTTTCAAGAAAGGGAGGGGGAGGTGAAGAAACGTTCGTGAGTGTTGCCCAAGTCGTCATGAAGGGAGCAGGAAAATGGTACAGACCAACCTATCCTGGAGATGGTCATAAGCATGGCCGAAATCGGCCCAGACACAGTGCGCCACGAGGCGACACCCCTAGCCTTAACAGCCTCCCAAAGCCGCCGCAGCTTGGGAAGGCCGAAGCCATAGGTATGGATCCGAGCATGGGCGGCCCACACCTCACGGTGCCAGCGGGCAACACAAGCCACTTGGGTAAGCCAGGTGGGGTCTTTCTCCAGGAGCCACAGAACACTCAGAAACCTCTGAGCAGCGGAGGACTTGAGCACCAAGACGAAATATCTTCGAAGGCTCAAAGGCTCCTGGGGGGGAGACCCCATAACACTCACACCCATAGTTGATGACAGGGAGGGGGCCAGCAATCTAAAGGCGACGGGCACGACGGTCGATAGTGCGCGCCTCCCGGAAGGTCAGGGAGAGGGCAAAAAGCGGGAGGGGGACACGGTCCGCCCGGAAGGTTCTCCTGGAGAGGGGGGAAACAAACGGCAGCCGGAATTGTGCGGAGACCTGGGCCCCGCGGAGGCCCACGTCGTGCACGGCGTCTCCTCATCCTCCTCCTCATCATCACCACCACCACAATCATCATCATCATCATCATCATCATCATCATCATCATCAGCATCATCATCATCATCATCATCATCATCATCATCATCATCATCATCATCATCATCATCATCATCATCATCATGTTCATCATCATCATCATCATCATCATCATCATCATCGTCGTCGTCGTCATCATCATCATCATCACCATCACCATCACCATCACCATCATCATCATCATCAGCATCTTTATCACCCGTCGTCATACTCATTAGCAGCAACATTATCAACATCAACAGCATCAGCATCAGCATCATCATCAACAGCATCATCAGCAGCATCATCAGCATAAGCATCAGCATCCACATCATCATGAGCATCGTCATCGATCATCACCATCATCAGCAGCATCATCATCAGCGTCATCATCATATACGAATGTAAAATTCATAAAACTTGCCAGTGCATCACCAACAACATCATTGTTATGCTACATTGAGTGCCACTAGCAGTATTAAAACTAGTCTTGGTATTGGTACCGCTGTCAGCGCAATAGTACGAGTAGTATTAGTAGTATGAGTTTTACTGTCGTGATTCGTGTGAGTGCGGCTACTCTTGTGATTCGTGATACGACTATCAATGGCATCATAATCATCAGCATGGTCGTCGTCGTCATCAAAATCAGCACAATCATAATCATAATCATCACCATCACAAGCATCATCACCGTCGTCGTCGGCATCATAGTCGACATTGTCATCATCATCAGCATCATCAGCATCCTCTTCCTCCTTATCATCATCCTCGTCAACATCATCCTCATCATCAGCACCATCATCGTCATCACAATCGTCATCGACATCGCAATCGCCATCATCATCAGCAGCATCATCATCACCACCATGACCATACTCATCCTCTTCATCATCATCAACAGTAGCAGCATTACCATCCTTGCCATTATTCTGGTCCTGGTCGTCATCGTCGTCGTCGCCGCTGCCGTCGTCATTCTCCTCCTCATCCTCCTCTTCCTGCTCCTGAAGCTCGAAGCTACGGACAGCATCCATCAGTAATGCAGCCAACTCCTTTTCCTCCTCCTCCTCCGTCTCCTCCTCGTCCTGCTCCTCTTCCTTTTCCTCCTCCTCCTACTTCTTCTTCTCCTCCTCCTCCTCCTCCTCCTCATCTTGCTCATCCTTGTCATCGTCGTCCTCAACACTGTCGCAGCTGGGTGCGCCCGCATTGGGGAATCTGGCCTGGGGGCTCCAGGAGGGCCCTGTGTGGGTTGGATGCCCAGGCGGGTTCGGGCTGGGACTTTTGGGGGTTAGCCAAACTCAAAGCGGCAAGCGATCGTTAAGCCGGTGCCCGCTGGAGGGGGATACATGGAGAGGAAGGGAGGAAGAGGAGGAGAACGAAGAGGAGAACAACGACGAGGATGAGGATATGGGGCGGTAGTGATCACGAGGTCTGCAGGTTTCAGTGGGATTCTTGGGAAGGTGGAGGTTGAAGGGCGTTCTTGTGGCTTCCAAGTTTAGAGGTGCTCCAGGTGGTTTCGGGAGATTCCGAAGAGGGGCCTCAATAGTTGTATGCGGACTCAGGGGGGGTCAGAACAGTCTTGTGGACTCCGAAGGAGCTCCAGGGGGTCCCGGGAGGAGGGAGAGGCGGCAGGAGAAGCCGCAGCACGACGAGGGCAAGAAGGAGAACGAGAAGGGGCAGGAGGACGGGGACGTCGACGCGGACAACAAGAACTACCAGGACGACGAGTACGACGCCAAAGGACGCCGCCGCCGCCGCCGACGACGACAACAAAGACGTCGACGACAACAAAGACGAAGATGACGACGACGACGACGACAAAGACGACAAAGACGAGGACAACGACGACGAAGACGGTAACGACAACGACAACGACGATGACGACGACGACGACGACGACGACGACGACGACGACGACGAGGCTCGGCGCTGGGCGTCGGCGCCTGCAGGTACTCGCCGCTCTGCATGTGCAGCAGGCGGCTCGTTGCGCGGCGCGCGGCGAACCCGCTCTCCTCGCCACCGGGCCCCGCCGCGGCGTCGGCGCGCAGGCTGGTCCGCTCGGCTCGGCTCCGCTGGTCGAACCACCGGACGGACCGGCTCGTCCGAAGCGGACCGAGCCGAGCCGTTGCTTCGTTCAGGTCGGCTCGGCTCGGCTCAGCTCGCTCCCTCGAGCGAGCAGAGAAAGAAGAGCTGGTTCGTTCGGTTCGGCTCGTTCCGCTCGGCTCGTCCGAACGGAACTGAACGAAAGCACCGGGGCTCGTATAGTACAGTGAGGGCCCGACCACAAGAAACCTTCCACAAGAAACCCAACCCTGAGACCCCAGGACGTCCACTGATTTTTGGCGTGGGAGCGTCACGCCCTCCATCGCAGACCTATCGAAACCCAAGAAACCCAGGGCACCCTGGAGGCAAGCCGGGTCTCTTGGCATGGGCCCCCACTGCAGGCCGCGCCTGGGGGCGCTCTTGCGCCGTCCGCCCGGTCGGGGGCCGAGGCCGTCGGCGGGCGGCCAGGGCGGGCGGCGAGCCGGGGGGAGCGCAGCAGCGGCGAGGGCGAGGGCGGCGAGGGTGTGGCGAGGACGGCGAGGACGGCGGCGGCGGTGGCGGCGGTGGCGGTGAGGAGGGCGGGGGCGGAGGCTGCGGAGGAGGCCGAGGCGGCGGCGGCGGCGGCGAGCGGGGGCAACGGCAGCGGTAGCGGTTGGGGCGGCGACGGCCGACGTCGCGTCAGCGGCAAGTCGACCTCGTCGTCCTCGCCGCCGTCGTCGTCCTCCTCCTCATCCTGCCTTCTCCTGCTCCTGCTCCTCCTCCTCCTCCTCCTTCTCCTGCTCCTCCTCCGCCTCCGCTTCCGCCTCCGCCTCCGCCTTCGCCTCGTCATCACCACCATCACAATCATCATCCCCATCATCACGATCACCACCACCAACACCTCCACCTCCAGCATCCTCCTCCTCATTCTCGTCCTTCTCCTCCTCCACCTCCTCCCCCCCCTCCTCCCTCCTCCTCCTCCTCCTCCTCCTCCTCTCCCCTCCTCCTCCTCCTCCTCCTTCTTCCTCCTCCCCTCCTAATAATCATCAGCATCATCATCATCATCATCATCATCATCATCATCATCATCATCATCATCATCATCATCATCATCATCATCATCATCATCATCATCATCATCATCATCATCATCATCATCATCATCATCATCATCATCATCATCATCATCATCATCATCATCATCATCATCATCATCATCATCATCATCTTCATCTTCATCTTCATCTTCATCTTCATCTTCATCTTCTTCATCATCATCATCATCATAATCATAATCATCAACAACAGCATCAGCATCATCATCACCACCATCCTTATCATCATCATCATCATCAGCAGCAGCAGCATCATCAGCATCATCATCATGGTAATCGTCATCGTCATCACCATCATCATCACCATCATCAACAACATAATCATCAGCATCATCACAATCGTCATCAGCATCATCAGTATCGTCATCAGCATCATCATCCTCATCATCATACTCAATCCTATCATCATCATGATCATCAGCATCATCATCAGCGTCGTCATCATCACAATCACTACCACCACCGTCACTACCACCACCACCTCGACCACCAGCATAATCCTCCTCATCCTCCCCATAAATACTCCGTCGTCATCATCAGCAGCGGCATCATCAACATCAACAGTATGAACATCAACTGCATCATCAACAGCATCAGCATCAGCAGCCGCATCATCAGCATCAGCATCAGCATCAACATCATCATCAGCAAAATCGTCATCTATCATCACCGTCAACATCACCATCATCAAAATCATCAGCATCATCATCAGCATCAGCAGCATCAGCACCATCATCATCATCATCATCAGCAGCACCAGCATCAGCATCATCATCATCAGCATCATCGTCATCATCATAATCGTCATCATCAACATCGTCGTCATCATCATCATCATCGTCGTCGTGACGGTCATCATGATCAGCAGCATCATCATCAGCATGAGCAGCAGCATCATCAACATGATCACCAGCATCATCATCGCCATCAGCATCAGAATCCTAATCAGATTCGTCATCACCCTTGCGGTCATCATCATCATCATCATCAGCATCATCATCACCATCACCATCATCTTCGCCAGCATCGCCATCATAGACAGCATCGTCAAAATAATCAGCATCATCATCAGCAGCAGCACCATCAACATCAGCATCAACACCAACATCAAAATGAACATGAGCATCATCATCATCATCATCATCATCATCATCATCATCATCAACATCAGCATCATCATCACCCTCATCTGCATCAGCATCCTCGTCATCGTCACCCTCATCATCATCAGCATCATCGTTATCAGCATTGCCATCATCAGCATCAGCATCAGAATCAGCATCATCATCATCATCATCATCATCATCATCATCATCATCATCATCATCATCATTTTCAGTATCAGTATCATCGTCATCACCAGCATCAGTACTGGCAACAGCATCTGCATTATCTCCATCCTCCCCCTCTTGGGGTCTGACGGCTTCCCCAACCCCGCTGCATGCTCCACCGCATCCCTAATGAAGGCAATTCCCCGGGGCATCGCTTCTGGATGGAATGGTGGGGTTACTTTTTCCGTCGCAGCCGTGAGCGAAGGCGCACGCAGCGTCAGAGGTCAACCTGGGCTACGGGCGCAAAATGGTGGGGTTACTTTTTTCCTCGCGGGCGCGAGTGGAAGCGCAGGCGCCGAGTCGAAAAGTCTGGGCCACGGGCCGATCTGATTAGCAACGCGCGAGCCGGAAACACAGCCGGTGGGGCAGCTGGCTGAGGTTGAGCTGGCTGAGCTGACTGCAAACGGCCAGGATAGCAGATGCAAACGTGCGGGTGAATTGGGTCCTGCACGCCAGGAGATGTCGTGAACTGTTTGTTCTGTATCTACAGACCAGACGTCGGCCTAGCGAGGCGGTGCCACCATACGGGCAGACCCGGGAAGGCGGCGCAATGGTGGGGTTACGCGAAGCGTCAAGAATGTCGATGCGGATCCAGCCGTTGCCACGAGGGCGTTTCTCGTGCCGTACTTGCATGTTCGCATTCTCACCTTTTCGATTTCGACGGCCCTCCGAGGCCTCCTGGTGGCTCCGAGACGGCCCAACCAAGAGAGCCCCAAGAGGGGCCTAGGAGGGTCACAACACGGCCCCAAGAGCCGCCAAGAGCGCTCCAAGAACGCTCCAAGAGGGGTCCAAGAGGCAATGTAGAAGCTGCAGCGGGGAGCCCTGATTGAGTACACCCCTCCTTTCCTTGGTCGAACTCCGACAAGGTGGCCCCAAGATGGCCCCAAAGGCTCCAAAGCGTGCCCCAAGAGGCGCCCAGGAGGCCCCAACATGCCCCAAAATAGGTCCCCAAGAGGCTCCCACGAGCTCCCCAAGACACCCCAAGGCTTCCTCGAGGCACCCAAGACGCTCCAAGAGGCCACCGGGACAGCCAAGAGGCCCCTAAGACGCCCCAAAAGTACTCCAAGAAGCTCTCAAAAGACATCCGAAGAGGCTCCGACACGTATCCAAGAGGCCTCTGGCCTATCTGCTTGCCCTCCTCTTCCTCCTCCTCCTCCTCCTCCTCCTCCTCCTCCTCCTCCTCCTCCTCATCATCATCATCATCATCATCATCATCATCATCATCATCATCATCATCATCATCATCCTCATCCTCATCCTCATCCTCATCCTCATCCTCCTCATCCTCATCCTCATCCTCATCCTCATCCTCAGCATCATCATCATCATCATCATCATCATCATCATCATCATCATCATCATCATCATCGTCATCCTAATCATCATCCTCATCCTCATCCTCATCCTCATCCTCATCCTCATCCTCATCAGCATCATCATCATCATCATCATCATCATCATCATCATCATCATCATCATCATCATCATCATCCAGCCGTGGCCACGAGGGCGTTTCGTGTGCTGTGCTTGCCTTCTCGCCTCTTCGATTTCGATGGCCCTCCGAGGCCTCCTGGTGGCTCCGCGGAGGCCCAAGAGAGCCCCAAGAGGAGCCCGAGAGGGACCCAAGACGGCCCACGAGCAGCCAAGAGCGTTCCAAGAATGCTCCAAAAAAGGGGTCCAAGAGGCGATTTGGGAGCCGCACGGGGGGGGGGCTCTAATTGAGTACCCTCCCCCTCTTTGATCGAACTTATCCGAGATGGCCCCAAGATAGCTGCCAAGGCTCCCAAGAGCGGCCCAAGCGGGCCATAAGAGGCGCCCACGAGGCCCCAGCATGCCCCCAAAGAGGTCTCCAAAAGGCTCCCAGGAGACCCCCAAAAAGCCCCAAGAGGCTTTCCTGAGGCACCTGCGCAGCAGTCTCGAATAGTCTCGATTGGAACTGGGTTTGCCTGTCAAAAACAAGCCAGCTCTCTATGGTCCCGTTGCTGCTCTGCTGCATGGCACCAATAACGATATGGCCGCCTCGCGCGGCTCAAAACAGTCCTCACCGGTGAGGCTCGGGGAGGCCACTCCATCGAGCCGAGAATGGCGCTCCAGAACAATCAAGAACGGCCAGAAAGCGAACCTCGATCCTCGATCGCCGAGGCTCCTGCAGGCTGCCCACCGCCCCGGCCATCACCCCGGCCACCCCCGCGGTGCCAGTGTTGGCGTCGTCGTTGCCCGCGGCCGCGTCGTTCGGGCCGCTGGCGGCGCGCAGGATCGCCTCGCCGATCGGCGCAGGCTCCTGAGGGGCAACGCTGAGGGAGGTACCACCTCGGGGCGGAAAATATCGACCTGGAGTCGGTGATACATCGCGGATAGATCGGCGATAGGTCCCCGATAGCGACACTTCACGTTCCTGGGCGGTGTGGGCTATCAGGCCCTCACCAGCGATCAATGAGCGATTGTGGGTCGATGCGTCCCCCCCTGAACACATGCCCCCATTAAGGTTGCCCCTGAGCTTAGGGGAGAACGGGATGTTGGGTAAATCATGAGGCACCAATACCGCTACCCCCTGGACTTCTCCCAGGGTGCGTGCGGACCAGGATTTCAAGGCAAGTCCAGCCGCAAAGACGAGGGCCTCCCAGGAGGCCCAAAAAGGTCAAACTGAGATAAGGGTAGCGGTACAGCACGAAATATGATCAAGAAACTCATGATTTAAGAAACCTGGGCGTTGCTACCAAGAGGTTTCCTAAAACAAGCCTGGGCCAACCTCTGTTGCTGATGCTGGAGGTGCGAACGTGCTCAAGAGACTGGGCCAGCTTTCCGGCAGGCCGGTGAAGAAACGCTGGCCCAGCTTTGCGGGAGGAGGTTTCTGAATCGTACCCTCGGCTGTATGGGTACCTCTTCCTTTAGTCCGAATCTGTCCTCCTACAGGCGGATTTCGGGAGAAAAAAAGAAAGCCAAACAAGAAGCAGGCATGGTCAAAAGAGCACCCAAAATTGTCCCCAGACCACTGTTGAACCGCTCTTGAACAATCCTCCTGCAGAGGGACATGCCCGGCGCAACTCGGGAGCGGCAAAGAGGGGGGTGTCCAAGAGGGGGGTGCAAATCATGACCAGCAGCATGTGCGCGGCCCAGCGGAGGGGCCAGGGACGCAATGGAATAAGAAGAGGCGCCATGAAATCTGAGGAAATATCATGGCCCCCGCCATGATATCCACCCCCCCCTAGTCATCACCCCCCTCTTTGCCGCTCCCGAGCAACTCCTCCTCCTCCGAGCAACGGGCTAGGGCACGCCCAGTCCGGGCCGTCGCCGGGGTGCGCGGGCAGGCCCAGCGGAGGCGGGGGCCCTGGGCCCCGGCCGCGCGCGCCCGGGGGCGCACCCGCGAGCGAGACGCCCGCGAGCACCTCCATCGCGGAAAGGATGCGCTCGGGCGGGCCGTCCGCGGAGACGACGAGGCGGGCGTGGCTCTCGTAGAGGCAGTCGATGAGGTTCGTGAAGCGGCGCGCCTCGTCGTGCTGGTCCAGCGTGAAGCACGGCACGTCGGCGACGACGACCGTGTGGAGCTGCCTGTCGGCGGCGAGACCGGGGGGGGGGGGACGAGAGAGGGCGGGCTCGCAGAGGGGGGCGGGGCTCCGCAGAAGCCCTCGGCGAAGGCGTGGGGGCTTCTGCGAAGCCTCGCCGCCGTCGGAGGCCTGGCCCCTCTCGTTTCCACCCTGGGCTCGCCGAGCCTGGCGATGCTCAGGTAGTCGTCGGCGTTCAAGGCCTGGCCGCACAGGTCCCGGAAGGAGAACAGCCCGACCCCGGAGGCGACCTCTGGGGATGCTCTGCTGCTCCTGGGGCCTCTCTCGGGGTGCGTTCTGCCCAGAGCCTCGAGGAGAATCCAGCCGTGGTGACGAGGGCCCCCCAGGAGGCCTCAAAAAGGCGTAAGCGAGGGAGGGGTCTACAGCGGCAAGGGTAGATACAGCCGAAAATAGGATCAAGAAACTTTGCCTGACGAAGGACCCAACCATATGCAGTTGTGAGTACCGTCGTTGCGGGTATCGCCTTCGGGGGATTTCCTCATGGAGCCATGAAGCATGCGACATTTGCCGATCTGGGGCGGGGCCGCCATGTGGGCGCTGCCACTGGGGCTGCAGGTGGAACCCACTATAGGGCCTCGAAACGTGTGAGGGGTGCGCCGGACTAGGGCAAGGCCGCCACTGGGCCCTTCGGTGGAGCGCCCCACGGGGTCACGAAGCGCTGAGCTGAGCGGCGGAGACGCATGCGAACACCGCCTCTGGAGCCTTCGGTGGAGCTCCATATGGGACCATGAAACGCTATACTGGGCGGGGGCGACGCATGCGAACACTGCTACTGGGGCATTCGATAGAGCTCCCTCTGGGGTCACGAAACGCTGTACTGAGTGGGGGAGACGCATGTGGGCGGCGCCACTGAGGCTGTCGGTGGGGCTCCCTTCATTATGAGGCCACGAAGCGCTGCACTGGGTGGCGGAGACGCATACGAACACCATCGTTGGGGACATCGGTGGAGCTCCCTGCGGGGCCAAGAAACGCTGTACTGGAGGCAGAGAGCTTGCGAACAACGCCACTGGGGCCTTCGGTGGAGCTCCCTATGGGGCCACGAAATTCTGCATAAGGTGAGTGAGACGCATGCGAACACCGCCACCGCCACTGAGGCCTTCGTTGGAGCCCCCGATAGGGCCACGAAGCGCTGTACTGGGCGGGGGAGACGTATGCGAACACCGCCGCTGGGGGCTTAGGTGGAGCGCCGTGTGGGGCCACGAAAAGCTATACTGAGAGGGGGAGACGCATGCGAACACCGCCACCGAGGCCTTCGGTTGAGCTCCCTATGGGGCCACGAAAAGCTGTACTGGGCGGGGGAGACGCATGCGAACACCGCCACTGGAGCCATCGGTGGAGACCCTTTATGGGGCCACGAAAATCTGTACTGAGTGGGGGGAACGAATGCGGACAACGCCAATAGCGACGTCGGTGGAGCTCCTGATGGGGCCACGAACTGCTGTACAGGGCGGGGGAGACGCATGTGAACACCGCCGCTGGGGCCTTCGGTGGAGCTCCCTGTGGGGCCGCGAAGCTCTGTCCTGGGTGGGGGAGACGCATGCGAACACCGCCGTTAAGGCCTTCGGTGGAGCTCCCTGTGGGGCCACGAAACGCTGCATTTGGTGGGTGAGACGCAATGCGAAAACCGCCACTGAGGCCTTCGGTGAAGCTTCCTATGGGGCCACGAAACGTTGTACTGGGCGGGGGGGACGCATGCGAACACCGCTACTGGGGCCTTCGGTGGAACTCCCTGTGCGACCACGAAACGTGTAAGGGGTGTGCCGACATGGGTGGCGATGATGGTGACGATAACGGCGATGACGACGATGATGCCGAGGATGGCGATGATGACGGCAATGATGACGATGATGACGACGACGACGAAGACGACGCCGCCGCCGACGAGGACGATGACGATGACGATGACGATGACGATGACGATGACGATGATGATGACGATGATGATGATGATGATGATGATGATGATGATGATGATGATGATGATGATGATGATGACAATGAGGATGCTGATGCTGATGATGAGGATGATGAGGATGATGCTGATGATGATGATGATGATGACAATGATGAAGCTGATGCTGATGCTGATGATGATGCTGATGCTGATGATGATGATGATGATGATGATGATGATGATGATGATGATGATGATGATGATGATGATGATGATGATGATGATGATGATGATGATGATGATGATGATGATGATGATGATGATGATGATGATGATGATGATGATGATGATGATGATGATATAGTCGACGACGACGACGAAGACGACGACAACGACGACGACGATGACGATGACGATGATCATGATGATGGGAGGAGGGAGGGGGGGATGAGGAGGAGGAGGAGGAGCAGGAGGAGAGGAGTGGGACGCGGGGCGCTGTCTCTTCACAACGAGGACCCAACAACAGGTCGGTAGGGAACTATAAGTAAAGCAATCTGTTCATATTCCCACAAGTTTCTCAAAACAAGCCAGGGCCAATTTCTGCTGTTGACGCTGGAGGGGCGAACGTTTTCCAAAATCTGGGCCAGCTCTCCGGCAAGTGGGTTACGAGTTGCTGGCCCAGCTGTTCGGGAGGAGGTTTCTTAATGAAATGCTCGACTGCGCGGTCGGACCCAGGACAGAAGAACAGCCTGCAAGAGCAGAGACCCTCGCCAGCCGACGCACACAGGACATCCGAGGGTACCATCCCCGGGATGCACACGAACACCCGACAAACACCAAGAACACGAGGGCGCCCTCCCCGAAGCGACCTCGATCCTCTACCTCGCTCCGACCGCACCTCCTCCTCCTCCTCCTCCGGGCCTCGCCCACGTCCAGCGAGCGCCCCCAGGCGATCGGCACCGTCGCGGGCCGCCCCTGCGGCGCCCCGGCGGCCTCCACGAAGGCCGCCCGCAGCAGCGCCCCCGCCGCGCCGGGGCCGCCGCCCGCGCCCTTGCAGAAGAAGTCGCGCCAGGGGCTCGCTCCGCCCGCGGCACCTGGGAGGGGCAACGTCAGGGCTCCAGGCTCGAGGCTCGAGGCTCGAGGTTTCGGGATCAATTCGTTGGCTCTCGGTGGCTCTCCCACCTCGGGATGCCTTCCCGCGGCCGCGCCTCGCCGAGAGCGCCCCGGGGGCTCCGGGACCGCCCCGAGCGGCCGCCAGAGGCCCGAGCTATGACCCGACAACACTTCAGGGGGGTCCCAAGAACAGACGTCCATGGATTGAGCAGGGACCGACCGTCCCGGCATTCCTATAGTCATACCACGAAATGTTCTTAGAACCCAGAAAATTTCTAAGAACAAAACAATGTTCTTAGAACATAAACCCGATGTGTTGAAACAAGACAGTCCCAGCCAGAAATGTTCTAAGAACATTTCGTGGAAACCACAAATGTTCTTAGAACATTGTTTGGTAGGGCTATAGGCGAGCCAGGACGCTTCGCCACTGCTTGAATGGGTGCCTTTCCCCTGTACAGTCTACCTCCGGCCGGCGACTGGTCTGATCGACCCCCCAGGGCCCGTCGGCCCTCTGGGGGCGGGGGACCGGCCCGGGGGCGAGGGGCGCGCTGGACGAACTCTCTCACGCCAGCAGGAAGCAGGAATCACCAATGGATGCCAGGGCCAGGTGGGGGGTCAAGGTGGGCGCTGGTTAGCGGCGCGCAGAGGGGGGTAGGAGGAGGGGGGAAGGCTTCTTAGAAGCACCCCTGCTTCTTAGAAGGCCCCGGCCTTACGTCTATAGAGAAGGCCAGCGCCTTCTAAGAAGCAAGGGTGCTTCTAAGAAGCCTTCCCCCCTACTCCTACCCCTTTCTGCGCGTGGCCGAGCTGGGCCAGGAACTGTCGAGTAAGGGTCTCGAGCACAGAGGTCCAGAAGGTGGGGGATGCTGGGGCCAGTTGGGGGGGGGGGGGGGGGCGGCTGAAGGGGGAGAGACATCGACCTGGAATCGGTGATACATCGCCGATGGAGTAACAAATCCGCGCGTTCCTGGGCGGGATGGGCTGTTGGGCCCCTACCAGCGATCAATGGGCGAGTGGGGGTCGATGCATCCCCCCCTGGCCTATCCCCCCTACAACGCTGCCCCTGAGCCTTGCTCCGCGGCTCCGCGGGGCGGCGACGCCACCCGGAAGTCGCGGGCGGCCGCGAGCTCGTGGAATGACACGCCCCTGCGGCCGAAGAGCGAGAGCAGCTGGGGTATCGCCAGGTGGCGGTTGAGGCCGTCCTTGTAAAGCTCCTCCGGCTGCCGGTTCGACGTCATGACGACCGCGACGTCCTCCGCGAAGAGGCCGTCCATCAGCGTCTCGACGATCAAGGCGTCGGAGATGTTCGTGATCTGGAACTCGTCGAACGCCAGAAGCCGCACCTCCTCCGCGATGCCGCGGGCGACAGCGCGGGTCGTCCTCTCGGCGCCCGACTTCCGCAGCTCGTGCAGGTTGCGGTGCACGCCGTGCATGAACTCGTGGAAGTGGACCCTATGCACAGACCGACCCACGCCAGAGTCCGCCCCGCAGCACTCCACAAAGATGCAGGAGGCTTGGAACTGGCACCAACACCAAAACTGGGGTCTGCCTCAGCCGTGGAAGGCTGATCCTGGATTTTGGTGCTGGCGGTAATTTTTCGGCCACCTTGGAAGCCCGAACCTTACCACCATCACCGAGATCGGGATCCTCTTCCGTCGGTGGAGGCACACCGCCCGTATTGCTGTCGGTGTCCACCACCAGGCCTCCGAAGATGTCCATCAGTAGGCTCTTCCCGCCGCCGACGCCGCCCCAGACGTAGCGCCCGAACGACGGGAGGCCTGGTCTCGGGGGCTCGGCCGGCTCCTCCGGCTCCTCGGCCTCGGGCTGGGCCAGCGCACCCTCGCGGCCCTCGCGCTCCTGCAGGGCGAGCCGCCACGCCGCGTGGCGGCGCTGCCACTCGGCGTGGCGCCCGGCCCAGGCGTCGCGCTCCCGCTCCCACTGCTGCACGGCCAGCGCGTGGTGCCGCAGGCACTCCCAGAGGCCCTGCAGCGCCGCGCAGCAGGCCCTCTGGCCCGCGTCCGGCTCGATCGCGCCCGCGCCGACGAGGGCCTGCAGTGCCGCGGTGGCGACGGCGGGCGGCCGCGGCGGCAGCCGCGGCGGTGGCCCCAGAGGCTGCGACCCCTTTCCCGGGGGCAGTTTCCCACGCCAGGCTCACTTCTGATGGCCTCGCCCGTCCCGACGACGGGCCCCCCGGGGCGAGCGTCTGGCGGCGAAGGCGAGCTCCACACCTCTGGCGGCTCGGAGCAACATCACCCCAGACCTGTTCTGAGGCAGGGAGAGCGTGGCCACTGAACTTCAAATCACTCGGCCTCGACCGCTGTGCGAATCAGAAGGTCGCAAGGCAAACCAGGAGCACCACAGGAGCCGACCTGCGATAGGCAACGCACATGCAGAGAACCGCAGCCGCATGCGAATCTCCCCCTAAGGCCCAAACGGCCAACGACATGACATACCCGCAACACGACAAGAGGAGGCGAGACGGAGAGAACGAGAGGGTGTAAGGGGGGGAGAGAGAGAGAGAGAGAGAGAACAAACAACAACAAACAAAACAAAAAACAAAAAACGCAACAACTTGGCACATGGCCCACGTATCATATGGAAAACGCAAGAATCGAATTAGGATACATACCATGCTCGGACGCCACCAGAACGCCGAGCAGCGCCGCCCAGCACACAGCAGAATGCCTTCCGCGGGGACTGGGTGCACCGCAATGCTTCGCCATCCCCGGGCCTCCGGAGATACAGTCGGGGCGTTGACCTAAGGAACGAAAAATAAGGAACGAGGCCCCTTTTTCCCATACATTAAACTCCGATGTTCCATGGAAAACCTCAGGCAAACCCAAGGAGCACTGTAAAGCAACTAAGGAACACGGAGCCCCTCCCCAACGAAAAGGGTTCCTTCTTCAGGGCCCCGACCGTAGGAGCTTTCCCATCCGCGACCCCAGAGCCCCATCCCCCTTCCACGGGGGAAGCCCCTCGTCCTGGACCCATGCCTCATGTTCTGATGTTCCAACCTACTTTAGCCCTGGACACCAGAAAGAAAGCACAAGAAAAATACCCAAAAGTTCGACGGCTTTCACGCGTCGGGCCCTCGGAAACACTGTTTCGACACTGCTTCGACACTCTTTCGACACTTTTCCGGGTGCTCGAGATGATTTCTGGGATGTGGTCCTTAAGCACGATGGGAGCAACATAAGCCTCATGGCCCCTGGATCCGATGACTGGCTGCCGAGGGCCGAAGTTTCGAGGACAGGCGCCGGGACCCACAGAGACCGCCTCGTCGGAGATCTGCGGCGGCCGCCACGGCGGCGACGGCCGGCGGCGGCGGCGGCGGGGGGGGACGGCGGGCTCGGGCTCGGGGGACTCGGGCTGGCGCGGCGACGCCGTCAAGAAGAGGGCGAGGCCCAGCGCGAGCGTCCGCTGCAGGCATCCCGCGAAAACGAGGCCCTCAAAATCCGGGACGGGCTCGTCCGAAAGCGCCGGCGAGCCCGAGTTCCCGCGAACTCGAGCCTCGTTTCCCGGAGGCAGGCGGCAGGCGGCGGCGGCGTCCTGCAGCGCCGCCGCAGGGCCCTCGCGGCGCCCGGCCCGCAGCACGGCCGCCAGCGCCTCCGCGCCCAGCCGCAGCCGCCGCAGGCTCGGCGGCAGCTCTCCCGGCACCCCCTGAGGTTTGACGCAGTGGGCAAAATGTGTGGGCGCAGCTGTCTGGGTCACAGCCGGACATGCTGGCACCACGCGCCCTCGTCAGAGCGCATGCCCGAAGCGAGCTTTTTGATCCGCGGGTCGAGAGCGAGCCTCTTCCGATAGAAGCTAAGCGGGCCGCGCACAGCTTCAATGTCCGAAGCGAGCACGCAGCACCAACAACTCAGAGGTGTCTCGTCTCCCGCGCGGTGCTTGGCCAGGAAAGAGCGCCCGCCACACACTGGAACATTCCTGAGCGCGCGCGCGTCGCCCCGTTCGGGGCGACGCGCACACAGTAGAGCATGTTGGGGTGACGCCGATTGCCGGCCACGGTGAGGGCATCGGCTAGAGAATCGGTGGATGAGGAGTCCAGGGCCTGAAAGCCCTGGGAACTCCAGCCGTGGACATGAGCAGTGGATATCACAGCCGCCCTCATCGGATAAGGAGTCCTCCAGGGTCCAGAGCCTCACGGCCACACTGCTTAACGAACGCCCCCACCGTGCGCAAAAGACACAGACCCCCTCGCATCGTGGAAAACATACTACAAGGGGGGTGCTCGGTTGTCGGCTGTTGTCTGGGCTCACTTGTCGGCTCACTCGGCTGCGACGGGGTGGGCATAGGCTGGCACCACAAGCTGGCCCACAACCGAGAAGAAGCATCGCAGCTTCGGTGTCAGCACACAGGTCTGCTCCACTGACGGATGTCATCAATGTTCCTTTCATTGGCATCAAACCCACGCGAAGAAGCATGCTCTCCCCTTTATGCGGTGGCCTACTCGAGCGCCGAAAAAAAACGGTTTTCGCGCGAATTGGCATGGGGACCGTACGCCGCGGCTTACTGAAGGGACCCCAGGACACACAAATAAATACACACAAATAAAAAGATTCCCCATATTTTCACATATTTTCTGGGTGTTTGTCTTCCCCCCCACTTCCCACATTTTCCCATATTTTCCTGGGACTCGACGATTGATTGTGTCTGTGTGTTTTTGTTCTCTTGACTTACGCAGGCCGCCGGCGCGGCACACCGCGCGGAGAAGCAGGCGCTCGCTCGCGCGCCCTCACGCGAGCAGCTTACGCACCAGTGCCGGTGAAGACGGACCCGTCTCTGCCGCACTCGGTTCGCGGCTGAACGCACAAAAAAGCGCGGCGAAAAAAAAAGCGCGACAAAAGGGTTTTGGAACCATGCGCCGACTACACGCAAGAGTGACCCTGGGTAAGAGTGACCTGTGGTGCGCGGACGGAGGGGGGCGCAACGTGGCCAAATCCAGGCGCGCCGACAGCCGCCATCACATCGCGCTGAGCGATCGGGGGGACCCAAATGAGCCTGCACCCAAAGGTCGCGCCTGCGAAGGGTCACTCTTACGCGCAACCGCAGGTTCTGCTTCTGGGGGCCTTCACCGGGCCCCGTGACCGTCAGCAGGAGGAGCCAGGGTGCAAAAGAGCTGGTCCCGCGGAAATGGCCCAGACCTCCGAGAATTCCAGCGTCGGACCCCACACGCCGCTCGATGGCAGTCTGTGCGGTGCAGGCCAGGTGGTGCCAAGCTAAGTGGTGCACTCTGTGTGGCACGAAGCGGTGCAAGGCGAAGCGATGCAGAGCAGAACAGAGCAGTGCAGAGCAGCGCAATGCGACTGCAAGGCAAAGCAAGACAGAGAGAAGTGGCGCGGTGCAAAGCCATGCGAGGCCGTGCAAAGCAACGCAAAGCAATGCAACGCAATGCAACGCAACTCAAAGCCTTGCGAAGCACTGCAAAGCAATGCAAAGCAAATCAAATGAAAAGCAATGCATCGTAATGCAACGCAATGCAGAGCAATTCGATTGTAATGCGATGCACTTCGATTGCAATGCAATGCGATGCAAAGCAGTGCGATGCAATGCAATGCGGTTGCAATGCGATTGCGATGCAACGCAGTGCAATGCAATGCAATGCAATGCAAGTCGAAGCAATTCGACGCAACGCAGTGCAATGCAATGCAATGCAACGCAAGCAATGCAACGCAACGCATCGCAACGCAATTCGATGGCAGTGCAACAGGGGGGGGGTGCAGCGGGGCGGCGGCGACGGGAACGGGGCAGCCGGGGCCGCACATGGGCCTTCCAGTTGGAAGAATGGTGCGTCGGGAGCGGCCAAGAGGCGGGTGTCCAAGAGAGGGGGGGTGCAAATCATGGCCGGCGGCATGTGCGCGGCCCAGCGGGGGGGCCTGAAACGTAATGAAATAAGAAGAGGCGCCATGAAATCTGGGGAAAAATCATGGCCCGCGCCATGAAATCCACCCCCACCCCTAGTCATCACCCGCCTCTTTTCCGCTCTCCCGAGTGCGGCGACGGACGAGACCGGGGCTGCCAGGGCAGCGCCCTGGCCCAGCTCCTCAGACCCCATGGGTGCAAGCACTGCTCGGGGGAGAGACGCAGCGTCGGGGGGCCTCTCGGGGGCGCGGCGGCAGGTCCGTGGCCCGAAGCGGGCCGGGGGGAGGCAGAGGCACGAGGCAAAAGTGGCCTGTGATGCGCGGCCCGGAGGGGGCCTGGGGGGCCAGGCCTGGGCGCGCACGCTGCTGCTACACCCCTGCCCAGGGCGAAGGACATCTTACGCTACACCGATGGGCTTCACTCCAAGCGCTGCCTAAAACAGTAGTCCAGGTCCAGATATACGAACACTGTACGAAAAAACGAAGCTCCAAGAAGACGCCCAGGGTCCAGCCCGGATTCTGCATTCTCTTGCGCGAAATTTGGATCCCACGAAAGCTCACGCTTTTCCTTAAGACTCCAGATGGGCGCATGGCATCCCATTCAGCGATCGGGGGGCACTCTTGGGCCCGCACCAGAGGTCACTCCCGCGAAGGGTCGCTCTGACGTGCTGCTGGGTTGCGCAACCAACTCCTGAGAGGCCGACCCCCGACATGCGGAGAAGCGTTTTGCCAGAAGCGGCCATGGCCCAGGGTGGCTCCAGCCTTTCCAGGGAGACCCAGGCGGCCTCCAGCACCATGGACTGTTTAGAACAGCTGGGTCACGGGGCGGGCCCACCTCTCCAGAGGTCCCCATGCCTGGATTCGTTCAACACGGGACCCGTCCCCGGGACGCCCCGAAGGCCCGACCCGTTCCCCAGGGCTGGCTTTCATCCTGGGTCGTGTTCTTGTCGACGGGCCCGGGGCGAATCGAGGGCCCCCACAGACAGGGGAGAGAGGTCAGGTTTCGATGTGTTGTATGCGCCTCTTGTTGTGAACGTGGCATACTTTCGCCGCGCGGCGGCAACGCTGCCATCGAGCAGATCTCCCCTTTGAAAATAATATTACTCAAGGTGGGCCTTGCGGGTGGGGAGCCGCAGGATCATGAGCGGGGCGCTGGGTCCCCCACCTCTCAACTCAATCTAGAAAGATGAC